AGAAGTGGAGACCATTTTGTATCATCGAGTACCAGCTGACACAATTTATTACGTTGTAAATTGATATTAATGTCATGAAGAAGTATTTTCTAACCACCACATTATAAGTTGGCACTACCTTCATGGAGTAATACGTCATATTGTAAGCTTTCATTACTGACACAAAGTAATTTGACGTATCCACCACGTTGTAAGTTGCCATTACCTCTACGGATTAATATTAATATGATATAATCGTCATATTGTAGACTGTCATTACTGCCACAAAGTAATTTGACGAAACCATTATGTTGTAAAGTTGACATTACCTCCGGAGTAATATGATATAATAGACATATTGTAAGTTGTCATTAACACAACGGAGAAACGTGATACATCCGTCATATTGTAAACTGACATCACCACAATGAAGGAAGGTAACGTAACCATTGTGTAGTAGCCTGGCATTACCACAACGAAGAAAGTTGACGTAGCCACCATGTAGTAATCTGACATTGCCATAACGAAGAACGGTGACGAATTCGTTACACTGTTGACATTAGGTTGTACTCATTTCAAGTGATGGTACAGAGACTTGTACAAGTTAGTGTGGATGTTGTGAGAATGATAACTGAGGTAAGTAATCTGAGATTGTCAGATTTAAAAGTGTCAGCCAGAATTTAGTCATATAGAACATAGCAGCCTGCCAAGCTTGTTAAAGATTCCAGCAGTCAAGTGTGTCCTATGAATAAAAATTTTATTTTATTCATTCGCTTTTGTGGTTGCATCTTTTCCTTTGCTGTTAATATTCGATTTATTATCTGCTTAGGTTACCCCTAATATCTGATGTATATTCTTAATAGTTGTATACATCAGAATGCCTCATCTTTCTGAAAATAACAGCAAAATCTAAAACTTTGCTTCGTTCACTTTAAAAATCCTAATTTTGAAGGTTAGACACGCTTTATTAAAACAACTAGTATATCTCATTATAGTTATGAGTCTCCGCAAATTCAAGTCTTCCTTCCACAAGCGGCAACTTAAGCATATCTCCTTCGTGGCCAATGTTCGATTATTCAACAATGCAGTGACGCCAAACCAGACTTATGGTTGAAAGATTATTATAAAAAAGATTTCCAAATAGAAATATTCGAACAGCAAAATTGTTGAATGATGTAAAATCAAACGGAGTAATATTTAGAGGAAGAGAGCCTTCATTGTTCTTCATGGGAATAGGAACTTACATAGCAGAACATTTAGTACAGTAAGGGGTACGAAACCACACCTTACCTCAATCTGGTGCAACGCTTGCATTCCCAATATGAAGGCTATGGTCAAGAAAGAGGACCTTCTGACCCAAGAAACCATTGCAATGAAGTTATGCATATCTCCTGGTACTATTAACAAGACAAAGAACAAAGATTCGAAATTTAACAAAAGCTCACAAGCAAAAAGTTAAAAGCCGTTCAGCCTCATTTGGAAATAAACTGCTTTTGTTAACAGAAAAACAAGGAAAAACACGTCGTAAGTGAAGTACTTTTAAAAAGAAAGATATTTAACGTTCATTCCAATATACAAAAGCGTAAAATAAGGTCCCTTTAGAAAGAAGTCTATTTAATTTCTTTTTACCACACAAGAACTTGTCACAACAAAGCATTTTATAACGTAAGCTATTTAACATCATTCCAGTACACAAGAGCAAACCATTAAAGTAGTTTTAAAAAGTTATATTTCTTAACCATTCCAATAAACAATAACAGATTGTATACATAAAGTATTTTAAAAATTAAATTATTTAACATTATTTCAGCAGACAAAAAACAACATAAAGTATTTTAAAAAGTTATTTAACACCATTCCAGTACAGAAGAAAAACAACATAAAGTATTTTAAAAAGTTATTTAACATCATTCCAGTACAGAAGAAAAACAACGTAAAGTATTTTAAAAATTAAATTATTTAGCATTATTTCAGCACACAAAAAACAACATAAAGTATTTTAAAAAGTTATTTAACATTATTCAGTACAGAAGGAAAAAAACCGTAAAGTATCATTAAAAAGTTATTCAAAATCATTCTAAAACACAGGAATATATCATAAAGTATACTTAAAAAGTTTTAGCATTATTGCAGTACACAAACAAGCTATTTCATTTTTATTCCAATAAAGAAGAAAACGTTAAAACAAAGTATCTTTAAAAGTAAGTTATTTAACATCATTTCAATGCGAGAGAACTCATCATAAAGATCTTTGAAAAGTAAGTTATTTAACATCATTTCAATGCGAGAGAACTCATCATAAAAATCTTTGAAAAGTAAGTTATTTCATTTTCATTTCAATACACAAGAACACGTTACCACAGAGTATTTCAAAATAAAATATTTTTTAACATTTTTCAAAGAAAACGGTAATGAAGGACCTAACATTACACAGCTGTGAATAAAGGTTTATACTGTTAACTGATTGCATGTCGGACATTAGTTAATATTGAATAAATGTAACAGATGATATATAAGAAAATATTAATACAAAATAAGGTCTTTTAATGATAGTTATAATATACAATATGATTCATTAAACAAATGTGACATATAACCTCATTTACTGGAAGGACTTATTGTTACATCTCAATATTTACTTTCGTTAACTCTACATGACCTGACGTACATTTTATTAGATCAGGAGAATGATTAAAATTTTATCGTCTGTTGCTATGGGAACAAGACACGTCATATGACTATCCCTTCTACCATTTAAAAATCTTGCGCCCAGCCAATCTAATTAGGTGCTGCCTACTATTTGTGTCCAGATCCGTCGATGTTTGTCGGGAGCGTCTCTAAATCAAACCTAGGAGTCAACAGTTGAGAAATTGACCTGATTAATCTCAGCATATCACTTTCACGTGACCTTCAACAATATTAGCCAATACTAAAGGTCAACAGTTTTCTTGGTTTCCTATGAGAGACCGTTTCTGAGACAAGATATTATAACCGTCACGTTATTTAGGGTACAAAAAAATCAAACAAACAGTTTTACTTTCGTGTACAACAAAAATTCGTAATTTCCCTTATATCACATATCGCATAACATTAATAATACATAGTTTCTTTCGAACAAGTGCTTAACACTCTATCTTAGTTCAAAAATTCGTAATTTCCCTTATATCACATATCGCATAACATTAATAATACATAGTTTCTTTCGAACAAGTGCTTAACACTCTATCTTAGTTGTATCGTTAATTTCTATCCAACAGTATTTCCAAAACGCACTTCAGTATTTACACCTCTTATTTTCATTTCCTTTTCAACTTCTCTTTATTTTGTACGTACAAAATTATCTACCTTTTTCAAGTTGCCTTTATTTGGTATCTATGAAATTTTACACCTTGTCTTTAAATTGTACCTAGGAGTTTCATTTTTCAGCTTGTCTTTGTGACATTATTTTTTTTTCAAACTTGTCTTTATTTTGTATTTATGATATTCTCTTCTTTAACCTACGATCTTATTCTCCTTTTTTTATTTGTTTTTAAATTACATATATATTTTCTTGCATTTTCCACGCTCCTTAGTGGCTCAGCGATAAGCCTGAAGGCTTATAACGCTAAAACCCAGGTTTCGATACTCGTGGTGAGCACAGCACAGATAGCCTATTGTGTAGTTTTAGGCTTAACAACTGTTTCTTTGTTTTTTCAAACAAAGCCACATTGGGCTATCTGCTGTATCCACTACGGAAAATCGAACCCTGGATTTTAGCGTTGTAAGCATGTTACCATAACGCTGACCCACCGGGGTACACTAACAAAAGTATTTTCAACACGTTTAATTAACGTTGTTTGTGACTTTATGTGTATATGATTTCTGATTAAACTATCTGGTATTCAGTAATTTTATTAGAAATATTTTGCTTTACGCTACATAACGCCCCCCCAGTGGCACAGCGGCATGTCTGCGGACTTACAACGCTAGAATCCGGGTTTCGATACCCATGGTGGGCAGAGCACAGATAGCCCATTGTGTAGCTTTGTGCTTAATTACAAACAAACAAATATGCCACATAACATTATATTGAAGTATCAAGATAACTTTGTAAAATTAACATTTCGCGTTAGATTTCTCATCACAGACTACTGCTTACCACAGATTGTTAGGCTTGTTTGATCACAATAGAAATATATATATATATACCGTACTGCTCCGAATTAAACGCCCCACCCCCAGGTATTTTTATGAAGCTTGCCTTGTGTGACAGCAATAGTAATCCAATATATAATCCACTTTTATTACCGTAATTTGATGTGAAAAAAAAAACACACTTATTAGCATTGAAATAAACAAATCATTTGTGAAAAATAGAATCTGGAACTGCACAAATACTATAATTAGCGCCCTCTTTGGAAATTGCAACGCCCCCGCGGGCGTTAATAAGGGGCAATACGGTATTAGAACACTAATAGTAAGTTAATAGGCGTAACTTATCAGTTACGAAAGACAAAGCTGATATCAGTATTTTATCATGAAGTTTGTTACATATTTGACTAGTTACCAAAGCCAAAGCTGATATCAGTATTTTATCATGAAGTTTGTTATATGTTTTACTAGTTATCAAAGCAAAAGCTGATATCAGTATTTTATCATGATGTTTGTTACATGTTTTACTAGTTATCAAAGCAAAAGCTGATATCAGTTTTCTATCATGAAGTTTCTTACGTTTCGTTAGTTACCGGTTTTATTCTCTAATTATTTTAGCAAAGGAAATTAAGGAAACGTTGGTTTGAGAAAAAAAAAAAAAACTTCCTTAGAGATATTAAGATATGGCTCTTTGGGACGTTTCTGTCATTTGCGCTTGACATTAAAAGGTGTAACCGAGACGTTTTCAATAAGAAACTTAACAGCCAAACAAAATTCTATCATCGATCTTTCGAAGAACCCACTTAACATGATGGTACTTGAACAGGACGTAAGGTGGTCCAGAACACAAGAAACAATTCATTACAAACAAGTCTAATCAGAACACTTACCGATCAGATAGGAGCATCCATCTAATCGCAGCACGCAGCGGCGCGCTGGTTCACCCCTACGTCCTCCTTTTGCCATTATTGGAACACTGTTAGATTTCTGAAGCAAATCTTTCATATGTTTAGGTGAACCCATTTCCTGTTCTCGTTCGACGAGTCACGTGTGACTAACAGGAGTTGTCTGTAGAATTTGGTGGGTTAAGACTCCACGTGTGTATACAGTCGTGAAGGAAATAAGCTGCTAGAACTAGCTCTTAGCTATAGACATGTTTTGTAACAAACTGCTGGCGTGCACTCGTCTTGCAGAGTGAGATCGAACTATTATGTTCGACAAAATACTTTACAGCTGTCCTTAACCTTGTAGCTTAGTTCACGAGATTTGGTGATCACTGAATGACACCATTTTTCCACAAACATGCTAATATCATTTCAACGCGACGATCAGCCAGCTAACTTTTAAACCATGTGCAACGACCCTTCTCTAGAGCTCGAAATAGATCTAACAAGAAACTTCTTTAGAAAACAGATACTCTTTAGTTTCTAACCAAAACGTACTTGTGTACTCAGTGTGTCTCCAGTCTTTCCATTAACCTTCTCGTTTAGAGTTCTTTAATTACATCTAAGAAAAACCCACTGTTTTTTGTCTTTAATTACTTGCTGGAACATAAGATTTGTTTCTACACTAAACCATCGATTTTTAATTTATTAATATTACAAACCAGCGAATGAAATACAGTTTATTGAAATATTTCTGCTTATCTTCAAAGTAAAATAGTCCACAGATGTTTGTTCTGCGCCATGTTTTTACTTCAGGCTTCAGCCGGGGTTGTTCTTCAGTGTTTTCAAATTCAAGGATTGGTCCTGATGCAAGTTTCAGAACAGATAAAACCGTCACTTATTCCTTTTTAGAAATTGGAAACGGGAAAAAAAAATCACATTTATCTTGACATAGATTTTCAACTGAGATTTAATTCAACAAAAATTATATTATAGATTTTGAAATGGAGTGGAAAAAACCCGACGATGAAGACGTTCTTTTAATCGAGTTCTACACTATTAACTTGGTATAAAGAAAGACAATGTTTAGATTATAGTCACTTCCAGGTTGTTTTACCCTAAATCAAACTTATTACATTCCATCCTAAAACAAACTGCGATACTTGTCTTGGTTTCCTCTACCTCACAGTCATTCGCTAAAATATCTAACCTCACGCTAAAGCCGGACTGTCACCAGCTTAGGTTGTCCGCCTTCAAGTACTGGTACGCTCCTGGAAGACAGGCAAGTAGAATTCGTTGCTGTGATCGCGGTTCGTTTGTCGTCACGCGCTCATACCACTCAAATGGAGGGACCACCGCAACAGAACTCCGATGCTGCTGCATATGACATAAGGGAAGAGGAAGAAGAAGCATAACAGCATCCCGCAGACATAACATTCCCAACAAGAATGGCTAGGTTTATTTTAACTTCATAACAAACGACGAGTGACAGTTTGAGTTTGTGTACTAATAACGTTTTTTCATTTTAAGGTTTTGTTCCACAAAACTATTAATCAAACCTTCCAATGTTTAAAACGTTCTTACTATTTCCGAACACTATTTTACGACACTTCCTATAAATTTATGTGTTTTGTAAAATGGGGTTCTTGTCTGTCTTAAAATTAATTCCAAATTGCTGGTTACTTAGAATGATAAACTAAACAAGTGAATGTGTACTTAACAATGAAAACTGTGTATTTAAACCTGGTACAAGTATGCAACATGGTACAACTAACATTTAGTATGCAACTTTTCGTGGAATTACGTTGGGTGTTCAGATGAATGAACGTGTTAATTTGCCAGTTTCCTTTCCGCTACTAGCGCCACCACCTGTTATGTACTGACATGATAGGTGACATTTAACACCGTTACATAATGGCATCTGAGCTGCACTGTTTTTGAATAATGTTTTGCAATCAAGTTATTAACGAAATTTGATGAAAAAGCTGTTCGTATGCACAACCAGTCACAAAAATGTATACAGTGATGATTTCACCTTTTTATTCTTCTCAAGCAAGGCATACTTGAAAAACTTCCAGTTAACTGAAGGTCCCAGATCAGCTGTACACTGCTGGATTCGTTTCATGACACCTGCATTTTACTGAATTGTATAATGAAACTCACAGAACAATTGAAGAAGTGCATTGTACTTAAAGAGACCTACGTTTAAGAAGTGATACCTAGTTTTCCACACCCTCATGTAGTTTCAACTTCAATGATAAAATAACAGTCGTTATTCTTAATGAAAAGTGACTAATTTACTTTCTAGTTCGTTACAAGTAACCAGGACTTATTTCCGCCGAAACGTTATAAGAGTGCCCTAAATACAAAATAATGCACTCAGTATTAGTTTTAAGCTTTAAAAGTATGTTACGAAATGAAATTGCGGCGATCAGCTGATCGCGCTATTCGCTTTGATATACAATATGAGCAATATTGTAATATTCGGCCGTACGGTAAACAAAACTAAAAAGCTAAATTTAGCTACAAACTCTCTCTCTCCCTATAAAACAAATGCGTATAAACAAAC